AATGGGGGGGGGTTTACCTGGATATTCAACTTGAGGGAAATATTTGATATTTTTCAAAAATTGTCTTGTTGCAGTTTATATATAGTCGAATCAGTGTTACTTTGTCTTCTTAACAACATTGATTTGTGAAAAAGCTATATATTCACCATTTTTATTGTAGATAACACCGGCCAAGTTTTTTGTTAAAACTAGAAACATTCAAGGCCGATAAAAAAACATCTAATTACAAATAAGTAATAAGAAATTATTCTACTCTTTTTTCTGTTTCAACACCTGTTTGTTGTCTGTTCTAGATTTTATAATAATTCCATCATGAAACAAAAAACACAACCAAAAGTTCTCGATGGTAAATAAGTATTTATGTATAGTTGATGACTTATTTTTAATTATTGTTCTTTCTAGAAGAAAATGAAATAGAAACAACTGAAGAAAATGGAAAGGATGAATCAACAATAAATGAAACATCGATAACAACATCTATTGATCAATTCAATTTTACAGAAGAAGAAAGAAAAAAAGGCACATTTAAAAATTTCAAAATTTCAAAGAAAATTATTAAAAAATTAAAAGGTTAATTTAGTTTTAATAATTCAGAGTATCAGATTGGGTTAACGTCAATTGTTTATTTATTTTAAAATAGCTCGTGGTGTAGAATTTTTATTTCCCGTTCAATCAGAAAGTTTCAACTTTATTTATGAAAAAAAAGATTGTATTGTCCAAGCACGAACGGGTACTGGAAAAACATTAGCATTTTCTATACCCATTGTTGAATTATTAGAAAGTCAAGAGACTGATAAATTAGAACGTGGGCGTTCACCACGTGTTCTAGTATTAGCACCCACACGTGAATTAACAAAACAAATATCTGATGATTTTAGTACAATTGTCACTACTTTATCCGTTGTAACAATCTATGGTGGTAAAAAGTATGATCAACAAGAAGGAGGATTACGTGCAGGATGTGATATTATTGTTGCTACACCCGGTCGATTACTTGATTTTATTTCCAATGGGAAAATATCACTAGCAAATATTCAACATGTTGTATTAGATGAAGTAGATCGAATGTTAGATATGGGATTTAAAGACAGTGTAGATGAAATATTGTCATATGCTTTTACATCTGAAACTACAGAAAAACCACAAATGATTGTATTTTCTGCTACAATTCCGGATTGGATTAAACAAGCAACACAAAAATATCTATCTGGTGGTAAATATGAAATGATCGATTTAATTAAAGATAGTAAACAAAAAACAGCAACAAATGTTGAACATTTGGCTATTTCATCAACATATCAAGATCGTGCAAATATAATTGAATCACTATTACAAGTTTATAGTGGACAAGATGGACGAGCAATTGTATTTTGTGAAACAAAAAAAGAAGCTGATGAATTGTCGGTTAGTCATGATATTAAAGCAGAATCACATGTTTTACATGGGGATATTCCACAAGATAAAAGAGAAATGGTTTTAAAGGTAAAGAAAAGAAATTGATATTGATTTTATACATCATTAAATTATATTTTATTTAAATTATAGAAATTTCGTGAAGGAAAATATCGTTTATTAATTACAACCGAGTAAGAAAGTTTACAAAGACTTAATCAAGAACAATTTATTTATGATTTTGATTTTATTTAGTGTAGCAGCTCGTGGCTTAGACATTCCAGAAGTTGATCTTGTCGTTGTAACTGCACCGCCTAAAGTATGTTTAGAAAGAAGTATATTTAGAAAAGTATGTAGAAAAGTATGCTTTTTCTTAAGGATGTTGAAGCTTATATTCATCGTTCTGGACGAACTGGTCGTGCAGGAGGAAAAGGTGAGTTGAAAGAAATTATTAACTTTTAGAGATTTATACTTTATATTTATTTTCTTTTAGGAATCTGTATCTGTTTGTACAAATCTACTCAAACATATGATCTTCAAGGAGTAGAAAAACAAGCTGTAAGTTCATTTGTTATGATATTCGCATATTTAAATACGAAACCTAAAGAAACATCTACTCTCAAATGTATCCTTCATTCTAAAACTTACTATACCTCTTTTAGTCAATTATTACAGAATAGTTCAATAAAGCCGAGGTCTATTCGACTACATTGGATTGAGAACCAGAATTCTGATCGGAACGATCCTCTGATTTTTGATAGCAGCCATAAAAATTTTATAAAATACAAGTTTATTATTCTATGAAAATGGACGTTTCGAGGCTTATATAGTTCATATTCAAGATATAAGACTGAATGGGAAAGATACTGGAAAAATACTAGACCGATGATAAAAACTTGTTAAAGGTCTGTTTCTTCAGTTGTTCTTCCAAATGTCAATGTTCATAGAATAATAAATTTGTAGTTTATAAATTGTTTTATAGCTGTTGTAATTGTTAAGCTGTTTTGGCGTGAACTAAATCATTCTTTTTTTTCTATTCTAGGGTATAAAATTTAAACGTGTAACCGCTCCAAGCGTCAATGAAGTGATGAGTTCATCGTCGGCTGACGCTGTCAAGTACGTTGCACTTTGTTATTTATTCTTTTATTTTAGTTGATCAATTTTATTTTATTTTAGATCATTAGATGACGTTACCGAAGAAGCTAAAGCACATTTTCGTGTAGCAGCTGAACAAATCCTCGTAAAGCGTGATGCAGTTGATGCATTATCAGCCGCCCTGGCATGCATAGCAGGAACAACAAACATTGTGGCAAGATCTTTACTTTCCCATAGAGAGGTATACAACTGTTAATTTTAAAATATTTTCAACTTAAAATATATAAATAGTATGACAACTTATTTTTATTTTATTTTAGAATTATACAACCTATATGATGAGTGTTCAAGATGAATTTCAAGGTGTTGGATTAGTTTTCACGACATTGAGACGTTGTTTTGGAGATGAATTTGATGCAAAAAGCAATTGTTCTAAAATAGCATTCACAAAAGATAGAAAAGTAAGTCAAGATAATATTCTAAAAATATAGGAATACATATAAAAACGATATCATTTTGATTTTTATCACGACATTGTTTTACTTCTTATTTGTAGAATGCTGTTTTTGATCTTCCGAGTGAATTGGATGAAACATTACAAGGTTATTGGAAAGATAGTCCACGATTACAATTAAAAACAATAACAGAATTACCAGAGCTAGATGAATCAACTATGAATGGAGGAGGAAATGAATACGTATGTTATTCATTAATTTTTCATTTTAGTTTTGCATAGAATAACGTACATTCTATATTTTAGGGCTCAAGAGGTGGCGGTGGCCGTGGTCAACGTGGCGGTGGATCACGTGGTGGTCGGGGTGGACGTAATTCAGACAGGCCATCAAGTAAATTAGGATCTATTTGTCTTTTTAATATACAAATTATTTTTATTGTATCTTGAATTAGATGCATGTTTCAATTGTGGACAAACAGGTCACATGTCGAGAGAGTGTACTGAACCAAAATCGGGCGGTGGACGTCAATCGAACGGACAATCAAGTAAGAAAAATCAGCTTAATTCTTCTACGTCATTTGAAATATCGTTTTGATTATAGATGCTTGTTATAACTGTGGACAAACAGGACATATGTCACGAGAATGTACTGAACCAAAAACTGGTGGCGGTCGTCCATCATCAAACGGACAGTCAAGTAAATTAAATTAGAGTGATTATTGACAGGAGCTAAGCAAATTTTATCTCTTATATAGATGTATGTTTCAATTGTCAACAGCCTGGCCACATGTCACGAGAATGCACTGAGCCAAAAAAATTTGGTGGTCAACGAGGTGCACGTGGTGGATTTGGAGGTGGTCGTGGTGGAGGACAGAAACGTAGCTTTGATCACTCATCAACAACTAACGGCAGTGCCACAAATGGATCATCAAATAAAAAAGTTAAATTCGATAGTGATGGTGAAGACTAATAGAACAACACAAATGGTCATCAAATTTCGTTATACAACTTGTGACTAATGTTTGTTACATGTAATTTCCTCGAAAATTTCTCACGTTGTTTTGTAGCAAAATTTTTTGCTGTTCTACTTTTGCTCTCTTCTTAAATTTTTTTAAGAAAAGAAGAAAAAATGTATTTGTTAAATAGCTCGAATTTTATTGTTATTTTTGAGTATAGTTCTGTGTGGAAAATGTGTAATGTCAAGGACATATTTGAAATGCTCTCAAATTACGTTGAAAAAAATACAACTTCTCGAGAAATCAATTTTTTAATGCTGACAATCTTCTTGATTTCAATGGTTTTTTCATCCAAAAAGTTCTCTCTACAAATTGGTAGAATCTTCTCAATCCTCATGTGATTCTGACAGGATTTTAAACAGTAGCATTGCTTGGAGCGATTGAATTTTAAGAATACTAAATATTTTCAAAGATTTACGAAATTTGACACCGCTCTTGTATTTTATATTCTTCTTTAACCGCTTGTCGAAAAAGAAGCCAAATTTTAAATATCTTACAGTTATTCAAAAGGATTTTGGGAGTTCGCCTATTGAAATTTAAGGTTTTAATTAAGATTCATGGAAGCCATAGGTCGTGCCGAACACTATCGACACTCTTTTAGTTTTATTTTCTGGGAAACACTATTACTATACTACGCGTAAGAAATTTTATGTTTCATTTTTCGACGGTTTTGATTTGTTCTGATCCATCATCGCTCGTATTTTCCATCATCTATCACAATTTACATTAGGCTTATTACAAGTATTTTCCAAGCTAAACAAGTTTCCCAAAATTAACTCTTTAGTGTATCAGCTTTCCAACTTCTAATGGAGCTGAAATTTTACAAAAATCACTTTCTAATTATATCACATTTACGGATGCAATGCGCAAATCTTCTTAGAGTTTACAGCAAGCTTTAATAAAAATTTAAGATTTTTTTCTCATAAAAAAAAAGCAATTTTCTCCATAAAATCAGAATTTTTAATTAAAAAATAATAATAAATGATATGTTCGGAATCAGCACATAAAACTGCATCAAATCATGTATAAATAATATAAAGTTTTCAATGGAAAATATCTCATTCAAACTTTTTCACTCTGGGACCTTTCTATGATTTGTGAAAAAATTAAAAATTTTTTTCGAAAACATTTGTTTTTCGTTTATAAGATTTTTGGATGGCTGGAGAATGTTAATGATTCGTAAAAAAAGAATTTATTTGCAAAAAATTCTGATTTTCACATCAGAAACCAAAATTGTCCACTATACTTGTATTGTAATCCTATTCTTTCCCATTGGTAACACATATTAACTCAAGATTCTACTATAATTTACAGTTGTATATCAAGCTATTGTGCATAACTTTTTAGTATAGTTTTTCTATCGAATCCAACGATTTCCTGCTCAAACCAAGATCACTATTGTTTCTTTCAGTCAGTTAACGACTTTGATTTTCAACCTGTTACATACCAAAATCAGCACGTTGTTTCTCTCTATATAATTATTTCTTCCCAATAATTTGTTGTATCGTAAATTATTTTGTATTCTTGTCGAATGAAAAACCAATAAAAAAAGTACCTGTAGTATTAACATCTGCTTGACTCTTTATGATTTTAATGTTGTTAAGAATATGAAATACTAGGGGCATCATAAAATACTCGTAAGAAGATCATTTGATTACAAGTTCATCCTCTCATTTTTCTACAAATTTCCAAACCATTGATTTAAGAGCGTGCATAATTTAATTCAACGAAACCATTCACTGTACTAAATATCTTTATAATCTAATTATGATAGTAAACTGAACAAAACATTATATTTTGTATATTTTAAAACACAGATCTAGATAAAGAAAAATGATAATAAATGACTGATCTGATAAGAAAATATATTTTGCGTAATATGTTCCTGTTCTACAATGTCAATTATTTTTATTATCTATATAAATGAGTTTGTCTTGAATCAATGTGGGCTGATGGAATATCACCCATTTGTTCTGTACTAACATCATAAGCTGTTGCTGTACGTCTATGTGTCGATAATGATCGATTACATAAACGTCGAACGTAAATAATTGCACATACAGCTAAAAATACTAATATTAATAGACTAACACTGGCACCAATAAAATAAAATGTTCGTTCATTTGGATTTTTATTATTACTAGCAAAATAGAATAGAACGATTGTTATTATAAGAAATATAAATGCAAAAAATAAACAAGCATGAATACATCGTTCATCATCGGTTAATTGTGAATATGATTGATTAGTATCACGACGACGAAAAAATAACATAATTTTAAATAAAATTAATAGCAGTCCATATGATTAAATAATGACACATTTTCTATTATAAACAAAATATCTTTAAATCTAAAAGGAAGCATCATCTCAACAAAAAAAAAAGACATAGAAGAGTTTGTTAAATTTTTCGCATGATCATTTGATAGCTACTAAACATATATTATTAAAATTTAGCATAAATTAATTAATAATTGTTTTTTAACTAGTAAATGATAAATCTTACCACAATGTTAATTTCAAATTTTAGAATCTTATAAATTTCCTTCTCTCTTTGATAACATCATTGAAATCTTAAGTATATAGTAATCGATTGTTTTTAACATTGTTATTATTAACTTACTTGTGATTATAAATAATGACTCTAAACTCTCTTTTATCATTCATGTTTAAGAACAATCTCTTTTCTTTTCATATTTTTTGTACATAATATAATAGACACATTTATCACTTATTATTACAGATTGCATAAATGAGATTGTATACTGACAATAACTGTCATATATAGCCGAACACACTATTAGAAGATAGAAATAGCGCGGTTGTTATTTTCATGTATAAATATGTATGTCTCTTATTTGTAGGACATATCTAGTGGAGATAAATAACATTTAAAGATATGACGAACAGCAAAATTAAATAAAATAAAAAAAAAAATCTTTAATCATTCTATAATGTATTTTACTCGTCATTAGTTTTTCAAATGTGCTTCCCACGTTCATTATTTCCCTTTCTAAAGTATTACACACAGACACACACACACACACAATCTTTTTTTTTTTAATAGAAAAAAAGAAAAACATGAGCATAGGCATAAAAAATATAGTAGCTAGTGTTTTCCACACGGATTTTTTTTCTTCTTTTTTTTTCTTTTCTTTTTCTTGGTTTTTAACGAGAAATAGAGAAAATTCGATTTAATTTGAACGTTAATTAAAAAGTATTTGATAAAGCGGGTTATTGTTTGTCTAAAAAACAAAATTTTCTCTTTTATTTATTTTGCCGATTTTTTTCTTTCTTAGCTCGATAATAAGTGTGTATTTTTTATAATTTTAGTACGTGTCGATAGTATTATGACGAAATTGTTCATCGACATCTTATGTTTTCATTTTGCTTCATCCTCTCTACAGTTATTTCTCACATTTATGATCTTCTAAGGAACTAACTGTCAGATATTTCCTTTTCTTCTATTCACCACCCTACTCAATTTAAACATTATTTAGAGAGAAAAGAAAAACATCATGTAGTATTATATAGACAGTTACACAGTAGGAAATACACTTTTCATTTTTTTTTCACTTTGTCTAAGAAAATGTTAAGCAGAAAATATGTTGAAAAAAGTGATCGAAAATGAATATTGTTGTTTTTCAAGAAAGTTTTTCATTAATCGAAAAAATGCTTTTTCTTCACACTAGATTTTCAATTAAGTTTATGATTATATCAGTAATCATAAAAACAATGTTTCTTCCTGTTATTAAATAGATTGATAAAGTTTGAGCTATGTTATCGAATTGCAGAGATAATAATAGTTCTGTGGTTAGTTTCTACTATGATTTACGTATGATATAAACAGTGTTTTAAAAATATCTTATTTCTGTCAAGAAATAACTAAACTTTTTTCTTTTTTTTTTTTGTTCTAAAACACTAGACAATAAAAAAAATGCTTCCTTTTTGAGAATTTTTGAGATTTCCGTTTGCTAGAAATGTAACTCGCTTAGTCTGATTTTTACTTCCTAAATGAAAATAAAATCTTGTAATTTTACGGTTGTGTTTTTTAAAAATGTAGTATCTTTATCCATTTGTCTTTCATTGGAGAGAAAAAACGGGAAGTAAAAGTTCTACTGATGTTGTACTTACGTGTATTCTTTTTTAATATGTTTAATGCATGCTTCAGTTGATCTTCTATCAATTATTTTCTTCTTTTTTTTTTTGATGTTACTAAACTACAAAAAACCTTAACACTTCAAAAGTATCGTTAAAAACAATAGGAGTAAGCGGAAGAACATTTGGTGATAATCAACGGAGTTTTTTTCTTCAATAGATCGAAAAATAATTTGAAGAGTATATATTTCGAGTACAAAAGAAAAGAAACGGTTTCCACAAGTAGTTTTGGAAGAAATTCATTCATAGATGATTAGAATGTCTAAATCCTAAAGATAAGTAGAAAATTAATAACAAACGTTTTTGACATGAGAAAATACTTATTCATTTTGTTGTCAGCTAAAGATCTGCATCATCAAAATGTCGAATATGTTGTGTTCTTTTTGAAAACAAGCTTTTTCATATATAAATGTACATACAAAAATGTACGTTAAACGTTATTGAAAATACTTCTCAAAACTGTATGCCAATATATTAGAGTGTCTAGTTATATTAAACTCTATTATTAAACAAAATACATTAGTTTAGTCAGAAAAACAAAGAAAAATAGAAAAAAAAATCAATTTAATATATGACAGACAAGCAGAATGTATGCATTTTTAACGTTATCATCAATGCTATAGGTTATACACACATGCATACATGTATAAATTTTCTCAACCATAATAACAGCATTCGCTTCTGTTATGTCACTCGAAGAACATTTCTGCTTTTGGAAAATATCTATACGATCTATAATCTCGATCTGTTGTAACTAATGCTCTACAAAGAATAAAATGATAGTGAACTATGTGAATATGCTGAGATCTGCTCGTTTGGATAATGATTTAGACAAATGATACATGATTTTTCCAGAGTTTAAATATACGATTAAAAAGTTTTTGATTGAAATAATCTATTAAATCTTACTTATTTTCGGAGATGTTAATTTTACTGTTTATGCCATAACTGATTACATAAAATCCTAAGTTTTAATTACACAAAACAATTTCATAAAGCAAAAGTTCATAAATTTTTACGTTATTTTTCAATTTTTTGAGCGTTTTAGATATTGTTTTGTGAGAAATATTTTAACGTTTTAGCAACGTAAAAAAGATGCTTAAATTTTGGTCTAACGCAAAATTGCAGAAAAAACATTATAAGCCTTTTGACTCAAAAAAAATTTATAATTAGATGCAAATTTATCGAAAATTCTTTATTATGGTTTGTTTGAATTCATGATGTTGTCATTGTCTGTTGAATTAACACATACTAATAATGATTCTTGTTTATATAGAAGTTTACATATATATCTGACATGATACATGAAAAAAAATTGAATGAATACATATTAAATTTAACAACTACTCAAAACAAATAGATAGGATACCATCATCACTTTATCAGAAATACAGACAACACAGTCCTCTGTTATCTTATAAACTACATTTATTCACAACATCAAGATTTTGTTCAGCGGTAGCCGTATTCAAATGTGTTTTATCATGATAAACAATAAGATCAAATTTGATTTGTCTAGAATTTTCATATGTTATTTGAAATCTTGTCACAGATGTGTTCGGTGCAATGTCTTGAAGTGTTTGTTCGCCATGATTCCAACATAAATCATATGCAAAATGTTTTAATAATTCACGAATAAAAGCACCATGGGATACACATAACACATCAATATCACTAAACGTTGAATGATATGGTGATAAACACAATGAATTTCTTGGTTTCGTATGAGAATGAAATGAAGAAGAATGAGATGATAATGAACTATTTGAATATGTTGAAGTTTTCTGTTTTGGATGATGATGATGACGATTGATACTGCTTTTATTGTTTGCCAAATCTCCTAGTGCTGAATCGATGGATGAACACGACGATGAGAGTGGGCGAGTTTGAGATAATTGATCCTGAAGACTAAATGTGACACGATTTGTCAAGCTATCGATGGATAATGAACGTTTTATTAAGCTGTCATTATTTTTTGTTGATAATTTTTTATTGGACGGTGATGTTGGCAGCGATGTTGATCCTATTAGACAGAAATCATTGTTTGATATTGGAGCATTTTGTGACACTGACTGGTCTTTCATATTGTCTATTGATCCAAACGAAGTCAGTGACGACAGAGATGAAGATAAATTTGATCCAGTAGGGTTTAACAATGGATAATCTCTATCTTTTGATTGTTCTTTACGATATTCTAATAATTCAGCACAAAGATCATGAAAAAATGTTATTGCTCGATGACGAACCTATAAACGAATAAAACATTAGTTTGTAGAGTATATGAGTATTGTACAATATAAAGCTCTCACATCCTGTGTAGTCTCGGCTCCGTCCGGAGTGAAATTGACGTATGGAATGCCTTTTGCTTTTGCCAATCCTTTCAACCATTCTCGACTTCGTCCTTCGGCTATTCCAAATATCTAACAAAACAAACAGAATATATAAAACACTAATAAGTATAAGATCTGTTACCCTAGTCAAAGATCATCTCTAACACAACTCTAGGATCTGGATTTTCATGCCTTTTATGGCTTATTCTTGTTTAACTCTACAATTGTATGTACTATGTAGATATATTCATTCGAGCACGCGTATGAAAAACCAGTGTGTAGTGCCATGTGGTCGATAGATCTCGCTATTATCTGTGCAGTACACTAACTGCAGTATATTTAATCCTTTGAAATTATTTATAAGAGTAAAGAAATAGGTGTGTATTGTGGAAGGGAGAAACAGCTGATTTTTGGACTTTTCCGATTTTCACCAAATGAAAAGTCACCGGAAATCATTGAAAATCACTAAAAATCAATTGATTTTGGGTGATTTTCGACTGATTTAAATCACCTATTTCCCCCGTGGTATTATGCCACCAAGCAGATATCAAGTCAAGGCTTTTCTTGTTATATTATTCTGGAAAAATGTCTGGCTCCGATCAAAAACCCGCTTCATGGGCATTACTTCTCTATTGAATCTTACAATTTCTAAATAAACATAATATGCTTACCCTTTCCCGCAACATTGCGCCGTATTGAATTTTACATGATGATGATACTTTGTTCAAGCGCATTATTTCAATAACTGTCTACAAATCAAATGAATAGATCAATTGTAATGAGCTACAATCTTAGTTTAAAAAGTAAATTATTGCTGACAAAAATGTAAGACAAGTTAAATGCAAAACTGACAATATTCATAATATCATTATTTTTCGTTTGTCAATTGGCTTTTATAATTCAATTAATTTTGGGATAAAGTTTTACTAGAATCAGTTGGATTTTTATAAAAAAATTCAAACCCCCTAAAAAACAAGTTGAATTTTCTTTCTAGTATTTGAGTTAATGAAAAATCAGCCGATTCTAAGCCACATGCAGGTAATTTGATAACATATTACGACCGGACTGTTGATTGAAGTTACTTAAGTGTTTTTGAAAAGATATGCTGTAACCTTATGACTCTCAGAAAAATACTTTTTTGTCTTTCCAGTATTTAATGATAAAAAAATCTTTGTATAGACATTATATCGTCTGTAATGCCAGAGAAGAACAAAAAATTCTTTGTATTTTTCGAAATTCTGTTTAGAACATGTTATAATTATATGTGTCATAAGAACCGAATGACACAAATGTATTGCATAATCTGTTTCTTGTTTTGATAAGCAATGGAAGAATAAAAATGAAAAATTAGGTTAAACAATCGATTTCATACCTCAGACGCTCTCTTTAAATCACTTGAGTAACAATGAGTGAAACGGTGATTTTGTAATTTTTTTCCTAATGCGCGAGCTTGTTGATAGCCGATTGCACTTAACTCGGTATTTGTTTGACCTTGAATTATTCCTTCAGAATTTGCTGGTGTTTCACCACTAAAAGAGAAAATATATTTAGTCAGTTGGTTGCAGTTCTAACATCTATAGAGTAGATATCTTACTGCCTCACGAGCGTCAGATTAAACCTGACATGATCCACATTTCGATTGACGTTTGATAAGATTGATCTATGGAAAGAGAAAAAACAAAAGTCATCACAATTCCATACGTCTAAAGAAAGATTGCTGTATACTACATCTGAGCGGTGAATCAGACGATGGTTTGCTTAAAAATGCGGCTAATTTGTTAAAGCACACGTACTATGGATGGAGGCATGCACAAAATAATCTGCAAATAAGAGTTTTCAAAACTTCATTTTTCTCCGATAGTTTCACTATCTAAGTCAGATTTATTTCTGAAAACGCAGTTAATACTGAGATCTAAAGGGTTAGTCAGCTCTTGAGCTCCTAGCCAAGAAAAAAAGTATTCACAATCAACTGCACTTTATACGTCTAAATTACTTACCTCATTTATAGTAGATAATTTTAGTAAGATTGTGTATCCCCAATACAGTGTATCTTTCAATCAAATTTCATAAATTATCTACTTGAACTTGAGTTCGTACTGATGTTATAACTTTTGCTTGAGGAATAGAGAAATTAATTCATCCATATTTATATGTGTGAAGAGGAAGAAACGACATCTGATCATTCAGATGATGTGTGGTACAACTAGTTGGGTAAATGCGTGTGTAGAGAATGCCAAAGAAAACAAAAAAAAACATTAGTAGTGTTCTGAGGAAATAAATGTCAAAATAACAGAAATAGAAAAAAAGAAACGACAATAAAAAGCACTGGCTACCGTAGAATCAGTTAGGTACTTTGAGTGCGTAGACATAATGATATAAATTAGAATCTTAAAAATAATCTGAAGTAAAGAAACATCATTTGACGCATTTTAGTCTATTTATATGTCAGCATCCAAACTCTGATTCAGTCCAAACTGAGATTGGCCGAAGCCAATTCGGGATTGGACTAAAACATTTCAGGCCAATTATAGAGCGTTCACATATATATATATATGAACACTATGTATATATATATATATATAGCGTATTCTGTTTTCTTGTTTGTGTGACCAGTAGCAATTGGGTATGCACCGGTATTTACCCGTTGCAATTTTGCGTTTTTTTCGTAAAAAAATTTTCATATCGCAAAATGATCTTCTAAAAGTTTTTTTTATGACTGTCTCGTAGAGCAAACATTTCTACAAAATAACTGCACTTTCCATGTTGAATCTAGATAAAAAATGTTTGCTAAACGTCCCACGACCGGTACTGATATCGGTTTAGGGCTGTTCGTCGAGAAGTGATTGCGGCAGAAAGGAAAAAGATGAACAGTTATGTCATACCTCACTTTGTAGAAAAATGTTTTTTAACAAGACCTAGTCATAAAAAACTTTGATAGTTTGTAATTTAGCCCATCTGATTTAGAAGAGAACAATGTACCGGTAAATACCGGTGCATGCCTAGTGACAATACAGCCCTAAGCTTTGTTTTAAAATGATATTATTATTTTCTTTTTCTTTCACACTGCTTTTCTTTGTAAATTTTCATATCAGCATATATTTTATTGTGAATAGTGACCTAGTTATTCTCTTGAATACACGATCTATATCAACTATTGACTTAAGCAGAAAAGTAAAAACACAGTGCAATAGGCGAGTTTATCTAGGTAATTTTTTTCTCGAAAATGTTTGATTAATAGCCAGTGATAACCTTATAGAAATACAACAGCTTATCTTTACAGCATAGTTTCTTTCGAATTAATGCGTATAAGGATATTTTCATGACAAACTATATTGATTGTATAAAAGTAAAAGCAAAAGCAATTTGAAATTTAAGGCAGTGGAACCGTGTAATTTCTCAGTAACAGTAGTGAAGGTCAAGGTTAGCGTCGCTTATCGTTTTAGAAATGAATTACTGAAGTAGTGAAACACTGAAAATTTTTCGATAAATAAAGGGTTATTTATCATCTGTCTAGGCAAAACATAAGAGTGAATGACGTTACGCAAGAGATCCAAGTCCACTTTCTTATGAATGAATGAATGAATGAATGAATTTATTTTGTAAAAGAACACACGGAAATTACAAGAAAGCTAGAGTTTGTCTCATCGCATATCGCGTCGTGTGTCTCTTTAAAAATGCGCGCCGAGATCGCGTAACACGGTCGCTCTAAGGCTCGCGAAATAGACGCGGTTCGCTACTTTAGTCTTCGTTACTTATGTAAAATGAAAAAGTTACCGATAGAGCTACACAAGCGGATACTGATCCATAGATATGTAGTCACATATGAAAAACAGCATAACAGATAATTTTGATTCTGCAGAAGACATAAGAAAGGAGGGAACCGTATAACGTTGATAATCGACTCATTTCATTTTTTTGTCTAAAAACGGCTGTGTAAATAATAGACAGGTATTTTCAGTCGGTTTTAAGTACTTTCGCGTACTTTTGGTAACTAAACTCTGAGTAATTCTTCGTCAATAGGGCGTCAATAGCTCATCCCATAAAGATCAGCTATAGGTTACGTAAAATGTGTTTTTCTTATGTTTCAGACGACAAAGTAAATATATAGGTGGATACCCAAGCAGACAAACTTTTTCGAAAACGCGTTTAAGCGCACAAAAAAAGACGAAAAATCTAGCAAAAGTGGGCGTGTTTGGATGACAATCGGGGTTTCCGACTGTGGGCGAAAAACGCCCATTTTTCTCCCTTCTGGTGCGTTTTTCAGCCAAAAACGCGTGTAAATGCATAAAAAAAGTGGTTGTTTTTTTCATACTCGAGAACCCTAATTATGATCCCGTCACTGATAACGACTATGAGAAAGACGACCACTTTTTCTCTTTTTTTTATGCATTTACACGCGTTTTGGGCTGAAAACGCGTTTAAACGCACCAGAAGGGCGAAAATGGGCGTTTTTCGCTCATAGTCGAGAACCCGGATTGTCATCCAAACACGCCCACCTTTTCTAGATTTTTCGTCTTTTTTGGTGCGCTTAAACGCGTTTTCGAAAAAGTTTATCTGCTTTGGTAAGCCCTCAAATTCTCTGCAGAATGTGTGTAACGTAACAGTTAATCGTAGTGCTTTGATAGCAGTAGAGCACTTAGAATAATCCTACATATCCAATATAGTAGACGGTCCTTGCTTGTGTGGTCCGTTTTTCACTCAAACAAGGAACCATACATTTTTCTATTATATATCATTTTGGAGCTGATAAAATTTGCTACAAACTGGCAAGTTCAGAATTTCAAAATCGATCATACTGTATCTCGTGGCAATGTTTTTTTTCTAGGATAAAGTGGGTAAACCTAGTGAAACTGAGTTTTGAGGAAAATCCACCAATTTAGCTGTATAACTATAATTATATAGCTAAATTGGTGGATATTTTATTTTTGTATATATACAAAAATAAAATACTCCAATCTTCCTCAAAACTCAACAAAACCACTTGGAACCCTCAGAATATGATCAGACGAGTAGATTGAATAGTTAGAATACCAAAACAACTCTAAACTAATACAGTCTCTTACGATGGATTTCAAGAAAATCCCTGGAACTCCCTAAAATAAGAAAATAGATGTTCTTATTTTTCTGACTCTGTCAACATGTAAATAAAGGAAGGGAGAGTCGGTTTGGTTTCATGTTGTTCACGGGATTTCACGTTATTTTGGGGACTCACCAGGGATTTCCCGTTTTCTCAGGGATTCACCAAGGACTTCATTAGAGAAAGTGGACTAGGGGACTCAAGACCTCAGTAAGAAATTGAAGAAATTTCAAGTGCTTGCTCTAACTATTGTCACTAGATGTCGCTCTGCGATTGCAGAGTCGCTGAATGTTGATTGGAGGCGAGAAAGATATGCAGCATAAACGTTGTTTACATCATAAACAAAAGTTTTTGTCATTGAAATCACCAGGACACCAATTCAAATTAGTGGAATGAAAGCTAGAAAAAAATTAAATTTGCCTGTAGTTGGTTTAGATGGAAATATTTCGAAAAAATATCGAGTCGTGCCGAGCTGCTAAGTCCCAAAAGTTGTCAATTTTCTCGAGTAATAGTATGTGGCCTGATAGTTGATGACTCAGGATGTACGGTAACCGATAATTTACCGTTGGTAACAGTAAAATGAAGTTACCGAATTTTTCTATGGTAAAGTTTCTCTTACGGAACTTATTTCTGATATTTTGTTTTGGGTATCAATTTTTTTGATCACCAAAAAAGTGACTTTTGATCACCAAATTTATTAGCAGTGAAATGATCACCAAAAAATAAGACTTTTGATCACCAAATCAATTAAAGAAGTTTTAATTAAAGAAA